ATCCGCTGTTGTGGTTTTCTTTTTCCTTAACAGCATACATCTGCAGTAGAAGCTGCTTTGATACACTTCAGATGTTGAGGAGGGTTTTGTATTTGTATTTGGAGGGTTTTTTGAGTCTTTGGAGGAGGGTTTTTGTATTTGCAGGGTGAGGTCATATATAGAGATCTGCCCAGTATTCCAAAGGACTCCAGGCTGCAGCAGGGAGTCCCTAATTTTAGGCTGCGATGCTGCTGTTGCCCAGCGCCCCAGCCTGCCGCAGGAGGATGCTGCTCCTTCATCAGCAGTCATTTGTTTTGTCCTCATCATTTGATCTGTGGACTGGTTTTATGTACCGCACACACTCAAACTCTGCGCACAGGCTTGTTACCTTCTTCAAGGGCTTTTCCATTTTGCTGATCAATATAGCCTTGAGTTCTTGAGCACTGATCTTCACAAAACCCCTATGCAAAGAGGCAGAACTATCCCAGTTTGGGGCACAGCAGGCTGAAGGTTGAAACTTGTCATGTCATGCTGTGTTCCACTGGGACTCTGACGTTTCAGAGTGATGGAAGCACTGCCTAGTCTGACACTCTTCCTTCCCCTGGCTTCAGTCACTGAGGTGCCTCAGCTGAGGGAAGGGGGCAGAGAAAACAGCAATTCCTGCCTAACTGAACTCCCAAGAGCTAGATTCTGCAAGTTGAGTAGTCTTACTAAAATAAGATTGCAAAGACTTTTACAATGTGAGCTTGCACATGAGCTTGTTCTAAGCAAATGAAGTAAAAACTAAATTCTTTCATACGTGTGAGATTGAATGGCTGACTTAAAGGTCCTCTTCAGGGACATCTTGGTGCTTGAGGAAAGGCATAACTGCCAGCAGCAGTGCGCCATGTGCTTCTTTCTCTGAACAGACCAGCACTAAAGCAGAGGAGGAGCACCCATTAAGACCTAATCTCTCCAGAGACCTTTCCAGGTTTCAAAAACCAATTGCTGCTTCTGGTTCCTCACCTACATGCTCTCCTTCCCTGCCGCTTTCCTGCCGGTGCTGCCCCATCCCCCCATCGTTTCCCCATAGCCCATCCCCATTCACTCCTGCCTCTGGATTTACCCTCTAACATTTCAAGTCATTGCCCAAAAGGCTGGGAAGTTAGAGCTTTCCAAAGAGAAGTTAATTATCATTTTTTTTTCAGAGGGGTTAGGTGTTTGGGTTTTTTAACCTACATTTCTCAGAATCACCTGAAATTATTTTGGTGAGGGTTTTCCTGAATGAGGATTTTCACAAAAAAACACAGTAGGCTGAAGCCCCTGATCTAGAAAATACCAGCCCAACCCCAGTTAGTTTTGCAACGTTACAGGCAGACAAAAGTGTGGGTTTATAATGGAAATATTTGGCAATGGTTTCTAATGGATGACACCAGCCTGAGGTCATACCCATCTAGCTTCACAGCCCAGCAGAAGGGGTTTGCCATGGTGAATGTCACTGTAATTCCGCTACAAATTATTTGGAGTCGGGATTTTCTAAAGCATTTAAGAGAACAGGAGACATTCAGCCATCACTGAATTTTGAATTAAAATGGGATTAAACTTCACCTCTTGAAAATCCAGGTTTTAGGATTGCAGATGGGTATCTTCTCTGAACGGTCTTCCTATCTATCTAACCAGTGCATAAATATATATGCTTATATTTTGAGGTGAAAATGATTTATATTGTATTCAGAGTTGAATTCCTCATAATCTTTCACTGCGCTTGCTGGTGCTTCATACCAAACAAGCATTTAATGCAAAAGACAATCTCTAGCCTTATATATCAAGTCTAAAACTTTAGACATGTATCTATGTATCTTTATAGTGAGAGCCAGTTGTGATGTATCACACTGATGCAATGCCTATAGAGAGACAGACAGACATGTTAACCAGGGACTAACTTTTATTGTGCATTTTTATGCAACAGAACAAATGGAACTGGAGGTATGTAGTAATAAAACCAATATTCAAATTAGAATTAACACCTGAAATAGTAAACTGTAGGTAACAAATGTCTTTCTAATTAAAAAATATTGACTGTTTAAAAAATTATCTAAGATTTAATATTCTTTAAAAGAAATGTGTGTTGCCACATAGAAAACAATTCACACATCCTATAGAAATTGTCACAAAAACCTTACTAGTCTATATTACACTATGCACTTTTTTTGTACAATATCTGGTAAAGGTCTATCCCTAACCTGTACTTACTCTACACAGTACAATCATCATTAGAAAGTATTCATAGAATTAACTACACCATAACAATAAAAATATCAGGATTAATGGTTTTTTAATCACAGTTTCTCCACAAATATTTGTCATAGAAAATATAGCGAAGGCATGTTGGCACAGATGGGCGTGCGGTACTGCTACACAAAGTTTGAGAGAAGGCAGATACATAAATGACAGTAAGATTAAAGAGTATGGAAGGATAAGACAAGAATCTCTATCCCCCTGGGACTTTCTGGAGTGACATGATAGATAGCGGTTTCCTTCTGTCGCAAGCCTGCTGTCTACATCCAGCGCTGGGAAGGGATGTGCTGACTTACAAAGCACGCTGCTTAAATATGGGTATCTCGCTCTGCAAGGGCTTACGTGCTATCTATTATTTCAGGTCCCGTGGCATTATACCTAGCATCTTGTGGATACATAAACACTTCAGTGTGTATGGACTTATAATGCCTCATGAACAAATTAATTGGAATAAGCGGTTGTGAAAGATTTGGTTTTGGTTTTTTGTTGGTTTTTTTTTTTTACATTTTTTTAAACAAAATGGATGGGTCGAGGGTCAAGTGGCCATGATGGCAATTAAAAACAACTGAGAAAAGTTGTTGTACTCTCTTATTCTAAAACCAAGCGTGAACAAAACCGGATGAGGTGGTGTCTGCTAATGCCTGTCTGTGACTGCTATTCACGTCACTGGCCGGTGCGCACAAGCAACTGAGGGCAAAATTTTGTTTGTAAAGAAAGGTCCAAACCTGCAAAGCCATTTGTAGTGCCAAAGTGGCTTTCAGGATGAAACTATACATTTGGTTATTTTGCACAATATGAGAGCAGAGGACTGTGAGTGGTTTCAGGATGCTGGCTACACTTTTTACACTAAAAATGAAGCTAGACTTACTAGTTATTTCAGCAGATCTTTAGGTTATTAAGTGAGAGAGGTCTGTCCAGTCCAGTAATTCTGTTCTGTGAGTGTTAAAAATGAAGCGTTTGTATTTTTAACCTCATACACTTAAACATTTGAAAGGAAACCATCACAATGTTTACAAAAACACAGCATGATACATATCGCTGTGGACAAATTTACAGTATAATGTTGACTCACACGTTCTGACATGTTTTACCAAGTAGTTCTGGCAAGTGTCACCACATTAAACATAGACCAGCAAGACTTACACCATCTGAGCAATGTAACATCTTCTATTATAGTTCTTTTTTAACAAAGTGTAAGTTCAACACTGAAAAGCTACTATAGGATTATCTGTACCGTGACGTTTCTATACACCGAGTTTCTCCTCCAGAGGCCACCACGCACCATTGACCCTTCCAAGAAAGTCACCTCCTGCCTGTAGTGAGGGATGCTGTCCTGAACCCCTTGGCCTGCTGAGGTCCAGTGTGACTAAACTGCTCATTCACTTTTAGGAAATAAATGACTTATTCTGGGTCAAATGAGTGTCTTTCATCCCTCTTTTAAAAATCACTAAAAATAACATGAATCGAGAGGTACTGGACATTTAAGGGCCTAAAGCATATCCTGGCTGCACGATGTCCCGTCTACAGAGGTGCATGGTGGAGCCTGTGTCCCAAGACGCCCTGTGGGCTGGTCGTGAGGGACTGGTCACGACAGCAGGCAAAGAGGAGGCAGATGGATGGTGGGAAGAAACTACCGGGTGGGGGAGCTGCCCTTGCGAGCTTGCCTCAGCCCTCCATTGGCAGTCAGGCCAGAGCTAGAGGAGCGCTGCACCCCAGAGGGCCCTTTCTGATCTTTGAGGAAGGGTTTGGGTGCCCCTGCCCTGCCCAGCGCGTGGGGAGAGGGTCGGGAGGGAGAGGAGAAGGGTAAAAGGAGCAATTAGTAGCTTCTCTCGTGGCTTGCAGAAGGTGGTTAGGAAAGCTGGGGAGTATGAGATACACGTTCAGGAGAGTCAACGCTGATGAGGTAGCGCTAAGGATGGTCAAAAGTGAAGTGAACTTTCTTTCCAAAAACCAGTTCCCTGTACCTGCCAGTGAGGAAATGTTGCCTCAAGGAGAGCTGGTTCAGGCTGTGAAGGACGCCAGCATTGGTCTGAGCAACCGGACAGGGGCAAAGAGATGGAAACACCCTGACACGGAAAGGGTATCGTTTCTTTGGCATTGTGTATTTCTGGAGTCCATCAATTTCAAGGGACAACAGATTCCTAAGCCTTTAAAATTAAAGGTTTTCAGCAGACTGATTGTTTCTTTTTTCTTTAAAGTTGGTATCTACTTCCAATGTCATACGCTGACATGAATTGGCTTCTACTCTAGCCCAGATCTTTTTTTACAGCTCTTAGTTAGTCTGGACCCCATGTTTACTTACAACAGAAGGTTAAACTAGGCTCTTCTTACCCAACCCCTCCCTGAATGCACCGCTGACTGTTAAGACCAGCACATTGCCTCATCTATTTCAAGGAATGGATATAAAACACAAATGAAAACAAAACCAAGAGAAGCCTCTAAAGCTACATAATGTGGCCACAGAATAGGAACAGACAAAGCAAAACCTGTCTTCTGAAATGGCAATTTGTTTTTAGCAATCTTGTTTTAATGAAAACTGTCATGATCAACTCTAATCCCCTAGAAATCTAGATAAATATAGTGTCTATCTGATATACAAAGCAATTTTTATCTATTAGAAGTGCCTGTTATTGTTCTGGGTCTTTGAAGGATTCTGCTGTTGATGTGCGCTGCTGTTTTACCTGGGAAGATTAATTTCCTGGCAGAGCCGGCTAAAGGAAGTCCCTGAATTTTCCATCTTGTGCGGTATTTTAAGGTAGCATTTATAATTATGCTATTTTCTGTTAGGAAATGGGAGACCACTTCTTTTTTTTTGTTACAAACATGCAGACTTGTTCTTGCATCTCCTACTCAGGGAAAGCAGAGAGTACCCAGCTGTTCTGGGTCCAGACCTGGGCTTGTTATCATTAGGCAGACAAGATGGTAGCTGCTGCTTCTTTTGACGGTTTTACAGTTTTTAAATGACCTTTCCTCTAGAACTAGATGAAATGAACTGCAATTTCCCTTTGAGGGTGCTATGAAGGCTTTCCAAATAATAGGCACTGAGAAGTCCCATAGAGCAGGTCTTGAAATAAATTTCTTTCTGTTAACTGGGACATGGTAGGATGGAGAAGCTGAAATGTATGCAGTATGTGTTCAAACATGCTTTGGACTCTTAAATGACAGTAGGGTAAGTATGTTTAACAAATAGTCTCTCCTAAATTAAGTGCTTGCTACTGTTGTATGAAGTTCCTCTCACTGCCATCAATCGCCAGATCCATCTTGCATACCTCTATTGAAGACTTCGTCCTGTGATCCTGGATGGTCAGTCCCTTCGTAATACGAGTTCCCGTTGTGAAGGAAAGTCCCCACCGCACGCCCTTGCCGAGCGTGTCCTACCGCGTCGCTGAATACCTTGTTTATTTGCTCTTCGGATGGCATCCACCAGTCCGGGTTGGAAGTACAATGCATCCTAATGAACTCTGCAGGAAAACATGCAAGGATAAGAAAAACAACTTGTCTTTGCAGCATCTGTTATCGTCCAGGCGTCAAAAGCTCGTGGGAAATAAAAAAGGCGGCATTACTGCTCTACTTAAGCAGAAGTAAAGCCTTATGGGGGATGCCATGATAATGCCACTTGGACCTGTTTTATTTCTGTACAAGTGTGTTTCTCCACATGCAGTGTATGTTGTTATACCTGAGCTAATTACTTGATGCACAGGACCTGGAGATAAAATCCCTTCTTGTGGAAATAAAAAAGAACTAATTCGAAGTGACGGCTGTGATTCAGCACGTGCAATACATGTGAAAGTTAGCATGAACCAGGATGTATTCCATTTGAAACCTGTTGTGTATTTATATACCTTAAGGTGATTCCTCTCATGGATCTTTACGATCTCCCTCTGCTGGCTGCTGCAACATCTGCAGGCTGCAGTAGCCCACAACCTGCTCGAAAATGTCACTACCATTATTTCGGTTTGGTGCTCCTTTCTGTTTTGAGTATCTTTCATTTTAAGCCCCGGTCTTTCCATCTTCCTGAATCTGACACCTATTTTTCAGGGACTAAATTGGCCTTAGAAATAGCTAAATGAGATGAGAAGGCTAATTTGGGGAGCCTTGCAATAGTTTCCAATGCAGGAGAAAATCAATTGTACTGCATATAATTTGGCTATTTAAGTAGCTGCCGCTTCCACATACAGCTATTTGTATGTGATGATTGCATTTTTTGTAATTTCTTTTTCAGATTCTTTGACATGCAATATGCTAAACTTGCAGAAGTTGTCTTACCAATTCTGGAGTTGTAACTCCTAACGTATCTCAAATAGGCGTATTTGGACTTTGAAATGTCCAAATAAGATTTTAAATGTGAGGGCACCTTATTAGATATATTGGATATGCTGTAACTCATATGGAAACTGAGCTTCTTATTTATTCTGTAACATTAGTTATTCCCTCATGCAGTATTGTGTTTCCCAGGATATTTTTAAATTCTGTTTTCTACTGTTGATAAGCCAACAGCACAATAAGTGGCGTAAGGTAACTTCATTACTGTCACCACATCTTGAGACCAGGGAATGCTGTGCTTGACGTGGGTTCCTGTGCCTGCAAGGTATCTCATCTGTTGGACAATTAGGATGTGATTTTTGCATAGCTCCCCCAGCAGTGTGTCTGCAAAAGCGATAGCTATCTCGGCTTTAAATTCATTTCCCTGGAAATCCACACAGGCAACAGTAATTCCTACCTAGTTATGTTTACGTGGGGCTCCACAGACTGGTGTTTTTCTGAGAGAAATGGTTATTACGTAAAGGAGTAATGCTATAATTTAGGCATGCTCGGCTGTTTTAAAGCTGGTTCCAGATATCAGTCAGTTGTAGGAATATATTACAATTTTTTATAGATGTTTGAACTACTCTGAGAAGCAGTTTGTACTCCCTGCTATGGTGGGAAGGCATAATTGGACATGCTGAGAATTAGTCAGACACTTGTTACCTTGGCTTGCGAATGGCTAGGAGCCAGTGGCTAACTCTTGGCACCGGAGAAAGCTGTCATGTTCCCACCCACACACGGAAGCCCAAAGAGAGAGCTGTCTACTCTGCTTTCTTTACTGGTCCCTAGATACTGAATGTTTTGGCTTCCTGTTCAAGCTTCTGAAAATTAAGGGAATTGGCCTTTCTCCCAAGGAGCGCTCCACACAATCTGTATGTCTGGTACCCCAGAAAGCAGAGTGGCCTAAGCAAAAGTCCATCAACAGGTGGATTTACTGTTACTCTGGGTGGGAGGCGGGGGAAAAAGGGGAAGAAAAGGGTATTCACTCCCTGCTTGTCCATAAATTATTAGGTGAAATTGAAAGTTGTTTAGTAAATGGTTAATACGCTCATATTCAGCCTTCAGTTTTCCCGGAGAACTTCTGGGACCCTGTGTCTTGCTCCAGACCTCTGTGCAGCACAGTGTACAATGGACTGGCCCTTCTATTAAGCTCAGATAGAAAGTATCATGTAACAGGTTCCTTTGCAGAAAAAATGAGCATCTTTGCCTAATTTGGCTGTATGTAAAATCTGAGTTCATTACCTGGTTACATCAATGTACCCCCAACTAAAAGTCTGATCTACTTGGCCTTGATGAATTCTTCTACCCTAAGGAGGAAGAGGCTCTGTCTGATATACGATTCCAGTCGGTTAACTAAAAGCATTTTTACCACTGACTGACCGAAATTTAGCTTTTTACACTGCATCAATCAGTAAAACATTCTTCAAGTCAGTCCAACCAAAATTTCCTGTATGTGCTCATAAAAATACTAAAAATTGAGTTAATTAAAGAAATGATAAGCAAATGCATTTATGAAATGCAGATGCTGATACTACAAACACATTTTTAATTGGGCTTTAAAAAATCCTATTTTGTATGTTTTGTTATAAAGCCCAGTACCAGGCCTTTCAAACAATTTTAGGAAACCAAAGTCTGAACTGCCACAACAGATAATTCTTTTCAGTCCGGACCCTTTCTGTGTATTGTCCAACATCCTCACCCTCTGGCATTGTGAAACGCTTGCGAAACTCCCCCTCCTTTTAAACAGAACATAATGACAAAATAGCCCTTTTCAGGCTAAACATGGGGGAAAGTTGTTCCCTAACTTTTTTCAGTTAATATTGCATCAATACTCCAAAAAAGAAGGTAAATCCTTGACAAGGCATTTGTCTACACTTTGTATGTAATTAACCTGTAGATGTTCTTGGCCCTACAAAATGTTCAAACCTAATCTGAAACTCGGTAAGCTTTTAACTCCAATAACGCACTGTGGCCTTGAGCACCATGTGCTTACTACACATGAGGCTATAAATATTCCTTTGGTTAATGTTGCTGTATATCAGTGTTAAAGAATGCCATGTTAGTTCATTATAAAATAGTGTAATCAGGATTGCCTGATTTTCCTTCTTTGCTGTTTCAAGCATATCAGAGTCATGTGCCCTTGTCTTTGTCTCCTCTCTTAAATATGTAGCCCTGTTTGCTCCCATTCAAAAAAACCCAACACATATATAATACATACATACGTATACATATGTATGTATATTAAAAAAAAAAAGCGGAGAGTTTCTGGCTGCTTGTCGCCTGCCTGTGAAACCCCTTCTAGTTCTGCAACTGTCAGCCGAACGCTTCTACTGAGCCAGAGCCAATGTGGTGAAATGAGATCACATATGGTGGACACTGAGCGAAAAGATGCAGTACCTCTGAGACATGTTACTTTTACTGGATCCAGAGGACGTCTTTCAGGACCTGTCTCTCCTGACTGCACTGACCTTTTCCTTTTCCCAAGGCCGCATGAGTACTTAAGCTCATCGGTTGTGAAAACAAATCTGATGAGATAGCGAAGGAGCCGTCGTCCATCTTTCTTGGAAGAATTTACGGCCTCATCCCACTGTTTACTAGTGATGTAGACAGGGTAGTTGTTCAGCAACTGCTTGCTCCCCTGAAAAAGCGAAATATTTCCGTTGCTTATTTTACAAGGCAAATAAGTAAAGATGTCAGTTGCAATCAAAAAATATGCTTTTTAACTCGCCGCGATATGACAGCGGAACACACCCTGAAGTGAACACGTAATTGCTCTTACTGAGAATGAGTACTTTTAAAATTACATTTCCATTTTCTAGAACTTGAATTTGGTGAGGTGCAAGGAATACATTTTGAGAGATGGCTACTGATAATTTCCACTTTAACAAGCAGGTTAAAAAGAATTAAGAATCAGTGACTGGGTATACTATTTAAGTAAAACCTTTCTTCTTCATCTGTTAAAATGCATAAAAAGGGTCTTTGAAGAGCATGATCAAATGGATCACTTCATCGCAGCTGACAGTTTACTTCAGAGGTGACTCTTTTGGTCTATTTTTATAATAAATTTATTATTTCTGTAGAACACACCTGAAACTTGACAGCAGTTATGTTACTGTGAAAAATATAAAGAAAATAAATAAAGGAACTATGAAAACTAAAAGCTCCATTATTATTAATGAATGCCATATTAACTCAAATTATAGCTTTACAGAAATGCCACCATGTCAGCTGGAAAGAAATTTTGCTTTTAACCTTCATAATTTGTGCACTTCAATATCGCAACATTAAATGAATACTGTGGGACTAATTATGGGGATTCCTGTAATCCACACGCATTTATAAGCCCTCTTTAGTCAACTGTACCTAAATTGTATTTAATTCTTGTTGCCCATAAAATGCTATAGTTCAGGATTACCCAATTAACATAAGATGGTACTGTTAATATACTTGAAATAACTGAAGTACACAAAAAACCCAACCCCCTCCTACAGACTCATTAACTTTTACAGCTACACCTGTATTAAAGCACATAAATCTGGGGGCCCAATTAGTAAAACCTTCCTTCGTATAGCCCCCAGCTTTGACAGGAGTTGACAATGAATGAGAAAAACGAGGGTCTGATGCTCAACAGAGGCAGTCTCCTGTACGCTGCACTTGAGGGCAACTGTTGCAAAGTTCTCCTCCTTGCTTCCAGATCTTTGATATCTGAACACTATTTTAAGGACTACCCTTGCCTTCTTTCACATATTTATTATAGCATCCTGCAAGACAGCTTGGGACCATCTTTGAAGTTTTTTCCTCAGGTATTTGCTTTTAATTTTTTCCCAAGTTTGATAAACATGCATAAGGTTGAATTTAGTGCAGACTGTGATGAAGAGGTCCCTGGAGAATCTGTCCGTATGATTTAGGGTACCACCACCTCCCAGGGGGTTAGCATCGCTCAGAGCTGAGCCTGCGTGACTCTCTGCTACTTGTTCACCTCGGTGCAAACCTAGCTGGCTTGGTGCAAACTGCTGGCAAAGGCAGCTACAGGCAAAGCCAAAACTCTGTGAAGAAAGCCAAAATATAAAGAAGACGGCCTTTGCCTGTCTGCTGGTCTCCTCCCCTTCCCCCCAAACATCTCAATCCTCTAGCTTGTAAATCCAAGCTTGTAATCCCTCAGAGAAAGACCCTTAACCTATAGTCCAACTCCGTCTATAATTTGAGACTTTCTCTTTGCACTTCACTTGTCACCTCCCACTACTGCAAATTCAATTCCTCCTCCTCCACTCATGACGCAAGAAGCTGCTTTCATTTTTGCCAGGTACGCGCCCCTGGGAAGCCAATAGTACGGCTGAGGAGCTCTGCTGTGGAAAGAATATTTCCTCCATCCCGCCCAGCCTCTGGTCCTCTGCCAACACAGCAAAAGGGCCAGGGAAGGAGGAGGAGCGGGGGGGGCAGCACAAAAGCTCTTTGGGGGTATGATGCTCTTATGCTGAAGCAACTGTGATCACTTCATCTCAGGGGGAGCTGACACTAGTCTTTCCTTGGCTTGTTCCATCAGAGGTAATACACCGGACCATCTGATCCCCACGTTGGTATGGTTTCTTTTCAGCAGCTAGCTTAGCATCCCTTTTATATAAGCTAATTATTTTCCTACCTTAGCTTCCCCAAACCTCCATCTTCTATTTAAAAACCTGTAGTGAAGCAAGGACCTTACTTACTGGCGCAAAGTCCAAGCTGCAGGTACCTCTGCGGGCACTGTCCCGCTTTCGTGTCCTGGCAGGCAGGAGCAATGCAATGCAAGGCAGGAACCGCACAGGAGAAGGCTCCAGGCTTGCTCGTGTGTGAGGGAAGGATGCTCCTATGTGGCTTTGCTAAGTAGCAAGCTATCCTAAATACCTCTATCTTTAAATGTATTGCACTGATGGAAATGGGGTGCAGAATCATCTAAATTTCATGAGAGCTCACATCACTGTTAACTGAGGAGAAGGTAATAAATTTTTGCCTAATTTCCTCAGCCCCAATTTTATTATACTTCTCCCTTATTCCTCCTGAAATTTAGGATATTTTTCCTCATTCTTCTCCAAAGGCATGAGATAGCGTTATGCTACTCTCTTAAACAATGGCTGGGTTCCTGCTACAGATACACTTTCATTACTTCGTCTGAAAGTAAAGCACTTCTGGGCAAAAGATTCTCAGTAAATCTATGATGCAGTTGGTGTGTCCAGCAGTCATTAAACTAAAACAAATAGAAAACCTTCCAGAAATGAAATAAGCAGATCCTGAAGGAAGAATCAAAGTACAAATGCATTCGTGCTTGTATTTGTACATGATTAAGCTTATGAATAAAAGATTAGCATCTATGTGTTTAATTGAATAAAAAATTCTGTCACATCATGACAAGCTATTCCATGTGGGACGTTACAGTGCAGCCTCATTTTTTACAGTGCTTGAAAATTTTAGTTAAGCAAAAGAGCATTAAAAAAAAAGAAAATGAAGCCTTGGAATGTATTTGAGTGATAACAGCTAATGATATATATAAATATATATATATCAATTTGCACAGGATAAAACTGAATGGAGAAGCAACGTGATGCACATCCTAAACTGTTGCAAAGCATCTTCAGTGAAACTACAGTTAAGTTGGACTACATGAGGCTGGCACTACATATCATTGATGTGCAAATGGAGATCAGGCTAGACCTAAGTCTTCCCTCTTCTGATTTTGTTTGTGTGAATAACATGTAGTGACACGTACACACCACATATAGACAAAAACGTGCATGGGAAGAGCCCCAAATACAGAGAGTCTAAGCTAGAAAAGTCTCAACAAAACCACTTAATTTGAGGCATTTTTACAAGCCTGACTAGAAACACACTGGAGCAAAAATTAACGTGAGTTACACCAGAGCTGATAGATAAATCTATACATCTACCTTTAGGAGAAGGGGGCGGACTTAAATTTCCTGCTTTTTCACTGCAGCACTTTTAAAGAGAACGTAATTACAAAAATCCCCAAACTCCGTATCAAGTATAAAATTGTCAACACTCAACATTTTGTTTGGGATGCTTTCTGAAAAGCAAGAGCGCTCTGAAGATTTGCAGGAGTCTATATTTGGGACTGTCTGCAAAATGAAGGGAACGTATATTTTAGCGTTAACCATCTCAGGGCTGCATCAGAGCTATACTGACTGCACAGACACGCGTGCCCGTGCCCAGGCACACGACATGTCGGTACCCCCCACGCAGGGGCTGCAGCCACCACGGGCAGCCACCGCCAATCGCCCAGCTACGGTTTTCACCAGGCTAACCCTAGCCTGAATTCTATCCACAAAAGTGATGTTTCTGAAGAAAGGTGAGACAAAAATTACCCACAGCAAGGCAAACGCAGCTGGTGCTGAGGGAGGGGGTTAGTAAAGTCATCCTAGATTATACTAGTGATGCGCCTCCTCCATTTGGGGGATTACTGTACCTAAGAATGAGAGTTTAATAACAGATTTTACATATTTTTACTACTAAATATATTCTTCCAGCACCTAGTGATTTATTTGCCTACATGTTTTGAATGAATTGTCGAACATAAAGAGATGTAGCTTGTCTTCACTGTATACTACCTCAGTCGGATGGTCTGTTGGCTGTGGTACCATAAGCTGGTTGTGATGTTGCAGTACAGTCTTCAAATAATCTAAAACGGTCTGGCAGGGCACTGTATGAAACAAATTGCAATTACTGTATATTAGCTATCTAGCACAAAATAGAACAACAATATTAAATCAAGCAGTGTTCTTCAGGATCTGTTTTGTACGTCTGTGAGATTTACTTCAAATAGGAAATACTTCTCATTTTGATTTGTGCAGACATTTCATTCAATAAATACACGACGGAGGTTGTATTTCCTATGTTGAGATCTCTGGCATCGCTTTTAATTTCTGCCCACTAGTTTTCAAAGGGTTTTTTTTTCCTAGTTTGTAATTATAATTATTGCAAATACAAATTAGGTCAGCAGTAATGATAATAAGAAAAAAAAATCTGTAAATACTGTAAACAGCCGGAACCACACAAAGGAGAAAACATTTCTTGGACCTAAATCATGCACTGATTAACATGTAAATATGCTCAAATGTTTTTGAAACTACAGTCTGATTAACTATACTGAACAGATTTAATGATTCATATACTTTAATTTCTTCTCCCTCCCTCCTCCCAGATTTGTAATAAATCTAGGTGTTAGGCAAATTGCTTTATTTTTCCCTTCCCTACCCTTCCCCCCTTTCCATTCCCATCACACTCATCCATTTCAGTAGTGGTACCAACATCCTATTCCCTTCTGCTGAGGTGACAGGTTAATTAGGGATGATTCAATTACGGGTCTCTCTTAAGCAGATGCTGCCACATCCCTGATTAACTCTGGAGTATTTTTGAGATACAGTGCCTTTCTCCGGAGCCTGAAACACCATAGGAGAATTAAACAGATATTAACCCAACATTTTGACTGACTTGTGCAAGACTAAATAAGTACAATTTTTAAGGTACGTTATCACTCTCACATTTTGTATGGGTTGTTTTTCTAAAATATCCAGAGATAATCTCAGATTCAGCTAAAAATCCGGAAAAAATATTTCACTGTTTCTTTTTTTTTTTCCTTTTTAATCATTTCTTGGCATTCAGCCTTTACACCTGGAAAAACATAGTGTTTTGGGCTTTGTCTTAAGCTGGCAATCTGAAAGCAAGCACTGAAATCACTGAGAATGTCTCAAGGTAGGATTTACAGGTATTTTGCACCCTTTCCTGGGCATTCTGCGCAGCAACTATACCCCTGCCTACACAGGCAGGGTGCAGAACTCCTTTATGTTGTGCAAAGTGCCTGATACAAATAACAAACTCCTATGTCGTTTCACGCCACGCTGACTTCTCCGTAAAGCCGACCCATCAGTGTATTCACTCCTGTTTCATCTGATACATCACACTTTGCCATAGGAGGTCAGGAGGTTATGCGTTAGGTAAAAGTTAGCATTTCAAGTGCCTTCTACCTGTTTTATTTCTCCAGTGACTTCACTGCTCATTGCTAGACCAGGACAGCATCTCCGTAGCGTAGCTGCTACACAGTGACGTTGCCCTATGAGGATTTTTCTTTTTCTTTCCAGTAGGAAAAAAAAGCACTTTTAAGTGTCATTGGATGGTTTCAGAAAATGTTTCAGTTCTGAAAAAGTCAGAAGGGCAGTCAAGCTTAATAGTTTCACCAACATATTCTGTGGCCTTCCCATAATGAGAGCTGTGTGTTTAATATATAGCAGCAATCAAAAAATTCAATACAAGTTCTTACGGGCAATAAAGGAGAAAAATAACCACAGGTGATGTTTTAGTACACTGGATATTTATAAGGTGTGGGAAAAAAAGGATTTGGCTTTTTCCCCTGTTCTTATATAGAGGAAAGCCCATATGGGAAAAAGAAAATTTTGGGTTTTTTTCCCATGTGGAAAGGATAAGGAACTGAAGGATAAGACAGAATTTTGCAGCCCTTTTCTTACACTCTGTGTGTGTTTGCTGTCTGGCATGTCCAAAATGAAGATTACACTAGGAATCGCCATGCACAGGTTACTCTCTGATGAAGCAGGTGCCCACAAAAGAGGCATGAGGATCACGACGGCTTGCTGCCCCGGGCAGCGCCAGAAACCCTGTGACAAGGTCAGCAAAATCTCCCACCAGGGTGGAAGTTACCAGCATCTCCCGTGAGATCCCGGCATCTCCTGCAAGGTGACAAAAGGATGGAAGTGGCTATGATGGGTGGTTGTGCTACTGCCTGAAAGATGCCTGATACCTGGACTTGGAGGAGAGTTGAGTGACACTTGGGGAAACAGTGATACTTGCGAAGTATCCCTCTCCTGCCCTGTGTCGCTCTTCCTTTAGCACGCTCACTGAGGACACAGTTGCCAAAGCATCAGCGGTACCTGGATGCTTTAGACTTCTCTGGTCCCCATGAAGCTGTGCTCAAAACAGTCTGCGAAGTTTACACCTGCTTTTGTGGTTACCTCTATCAGCAAAAGTCCCTGGTGATGACCTGATGGCTCTCAGCCATCCTTGGTGCTATTAGTTGTAATTACGTGCAACAACGTGGGGCCTGACTGGGAACAGAATATAATGCATGAAAAATTTCTAATTTTTAGGAGCTGATCTCACAGCAGGATGGTATTTTACCCACAGTAAGTAATTTCACTGCAGGCTACCCAAAGATGCATTTAGCGATGTTCTTCTGAAGGGATGGGGCACAAGCGAGAAGACAACGGGAAACTATTTAACCTGTTGCATCCCCAGCAGATGAATTACAGCTCTACTTTAACTGTAGTCTGCTGATAAAATGCTTTCTCATTACCAGTGAGAAGTAAGAAGGTACTAAAAACTGGCTGAAGCTTACAAAAACTTCTATCTTCATACAAGCACCAAAGTTTCGAGCACAAAATTGTATGATTTTGTTATCATTCCAGTGACTGGAGGACTCTGAGCACTTTTGACTTGTGAAGCCATCGTACATCACAGTGTGCAGTTGGTACAAGTAACCTCAGCTTTTCAAGCACCAGATGCTACTTGCAAAGCCAGGCTTCTCGGGCTGCCGTATTAACCAAAGCCTAAAGGAAGCCACAGAGAAGGTGAGAGTCAAAGCTTCGGTTTTGCTTCTGTGTCCGTCTTATGGCTCTGCAAATATTCTCCTTGTGGAGACAAGAGGAACTGTTTCTTCCAAAGCCGGCAGCAAACGTAACTTTCTAAGAGCCTGCGGCTCCCAACTGTGAGAACGAATAATCGTTTAAACCTGCTAGCTTATTTATTTTGTATTTCTTTGACTTTGATGTGGTCTCTAGAGAGTTAACAAGATCATAACCCCGAGAGCTGATTCTCTGCACGCTTATGCACATATCCACTATCACCGACATCACCAACAGGGATCTATGCCGACTGTAACCAACGGGAAAGACTCTAATGTCGAAATAACACTTGCTTGTTATGATTTAGTAGAAAGCCTGCGGGGAAGCAGTAATTTTCCTGCCCATTAGGAAGACGTTTCCACAGCCTTTACTTTCTAAAAGTGCCAGTGGCTCAGAAAAAACACTGGAAGTGGCCAAATGACCTGGCCTGCAGTGAGCGAAAGATCTTTGCAAGATCTTTGTGGGAGCTAAAGGGCAAGAAGGAGGTGCGACGGGGGCCTCGGTGTGCTGGGGAAGGCTGGTCTTGCTAAGATGCTAAGCAGGACACGTGTAAGAGGCGGCAGGTCTTTGCTGTTTATTGATCCAAGTTTTAAGACTTTCTTGTAATTCTAGGCATCCGTACATTGTAACTAGTGCTTCTTCAGCATAGCTTGTCACAGCTTTCTCTGCGGAGTATCCTAATTTCTAATAAATAGTTGAACAGTGTGGTGGCCACCAACTGTGCCAATGACAAAAGCCGGGCTGTGACTCTCAGTCTGACCTGCCACACAGCACAGCAACTCCCCAGACTAAACCCTCTTTCACCAGACAGCATCAGCGGGTAAAACACAGTACAACTCAAGTCGCCGTCTCCCAGCCATGCAGTTTCTACCCTTGGCTCGTTGTTACAGCGTGTGCTATTTCACCCTCAGAAACTTACACCTTATTTCAAGTCTGCATTATGTCTCCGTTCAGTTGGGTTTTATAAAATCTTTGGAAAAGAAATGGAAAATGCCTGTCACCTGTTATGAACTTATAGTTAGCAGTGAAGTCATTTCTCCGTCTTCTCTTTGCTAAGCTCAACACTGACCTTGCCAAGATGCTGGGCTCACGCTAAAAGCGGTCCCTACACCTACTTACGTGTCTGTACATCCAAAGGGCACGCTGTGCATCAACACTTGGCCAGAAAGCCACCCTGTCCCCCAAAAGCCCTTCTCAGTGTCCATTTCCCGGGGGCTGAAACCAAGTAGAGCGATGTTCTCTGTGCCTCAGCACACAGTAATGCTGCACCACGTTCCGCCAAGTCTGTCGCTTCTCATCTTCCTCGCTCACTGCCACCTCTGCACCGCTTGCAAGCTGTGAGCAATGATTGTATGCTTTCTTTTACCAATGAAAGTATTAAAAACATGGGCTGAGAGCAGTTTCAAAAGGAATTCCTCCAGAAATTCAACTGCATCATGGCAATTTCCTGAATACAAATATATTTGCATTTTTTAAATCACTTTTTGTAATATGATGTGATATAATACTCTGAATATCTGCAATACCCTCATCAACCGAACTTTTCATCTCATCAAACCTATAATTTGGCAAGATGTTGCCAGGTACTAACTCTATTATTCTCTTTTAGTACTTTATTAATTGAAGCTGGCATCAGCTGTACACTTAGTTTGTCTGGGCTCAGTACCAGGCCAACGAGCCTACAATCATCTGGGACATCTCAGATGTCCTTTTTGGAAAAAAAAAAAAAAAAATCATACATCTTTCAATCTTGTGGAGCATCCCAAATATTCCAAAACATAAAGAAAGTTATAGTCACAGTCCTCTTTCTTTGTCCACCTTCATTTTTGTTTTAGCTCCTGAAGTGAGTTGTCCAAATCTCATGATTTTTGAAAACATCACACTTTGGTAGCAGCTGCCTAATGTTTTTGGTAATAAGCTGATGTGCACTTAGGGATGAAAAGCTGGTGTAGCCAAGCAGCTACTGCTCCCGGCGGCCTGTGCTGTGGCTCTCCTGGTGATGCCAGTC